ATATTGTTCGATAATTTCCACATTCTGTGGGATCACCTTTCTTTGGAATGGGTACAAATCTGGATCTCTTCCAGTCAGTTGGCCAGGTAGATGTCTTCCAAATCTCTTGGCATAGCTGAGTGAATGCCTCCAGCGAGGCATCTGTTTGTTGAAACATCTCAATGGATTTTCTGTCAATTCCTGGAGCCTTGTTCCTCACCAATTCCCTCAGCACAGCTTTGAACTCTTCCCTTAATACCACTGGTTCTTGAACATATGCCAGCTCCTGAAATGGATGAAGATCGACCAGTTCTTTTTGGTACAGTGACTATGTATTTCCTCCATCTTCTTTTGATGCTTCCTGCATCATTCAATATTTTGCCCATAGAATCTTTCAATATTTCAACTTGAGGCTTAAATTTTTTCCTCAGTTCTTTCAGTTTGAGAAATGCCGAGTGTGTTCTTCCTTTTTGGTTTTCTAACTCCAGTTCTTTGCACATTTCCTTATAGTTAATTGGCTTTGTCTGCTCGAGCTGCTCTTTGAAATCTTCTGTTCAGCTCTTTTATCTTGTTATTTCTCCCATTTGCTTTAGCTACTCTTCACTCAAGGGCAAGTTTCAGAGTCTCCTCTGACATCCATTTTGGTCTTTCCTTTCTTTCTTGCATTTTAAATGATCTCTTGCTTTCTTCATGGATGATGCTCTTGATGTCATCCCACAATTCTTCTGGTTTTCAGTCACTGGTGTTCAATGCATCAAATCTATTCTTTAGATGGTCTCTAAATTTATGAGAGATATATTCAAGGCCATATTTTGGCTCTCATGGACTTGTTTTAATTGTCTTCAACTTCGCATTGAACTTGCATATGAGCAGTTGATGGTCTGTTCCGTAATCAGCTCCTGGCCTGGCTCTGGCTGAAAATATTGAGCTTTTCCATCACCTCTTGCCACAGATGTAGACAATCTTATTCCTGTGCACTCCATATGGCAAAGTCCACGTGTATAGCTGCCATTTGTGTTGTTGAAAAAGGTATTTGCAATGAATAAGTTGTTGATCTTGCAAAATTCTATCATGCGCTCTCCAGCATTATTTCTGTCACCAAGGCCACATTTTCCAACTACTGGTGATTCTTCTTTGTTTCCAGCTCTTGCATTCCAATCACCAGTGATAAGCAACACACCTTGATTGCATGTTCGGTCAATTTCAGACTGCAGAAGTTGGTAAACATCTTCAAATTACTCATCTTTGGCTTTGGTCATTGGTGCATAAATTTGAATAATGTTGTATTAACTGGTCTTCCTTGTAAGCATATGGATATTATCCTATCACTGACAGCATTGTACTTCAGGACAGATCTTGAAACATCTTTTGTGATGATAAATGACATGCCATTCTTCAATTTGTCATTCCTGGCATAGTAGATCATATGGTTGTCTGATTCAAATGGCCAAAACCAGTCCATTTCAGCTCACTAATGCCTAGGATATAAATCTTTATGCATTCTATTTCATTTTTTGACAACTTCCAATTTTCCTAGATTCATACTTAGTACATTCCATGTTCCGATTATTAATGGATGTTTGCAACTATTTCTCCTCAATTTGAGTTGTGCCACGACAGCACATGGAGGTCCTGACTTACTTTATCCATATCATTAACATTGGTTCTACTCTAATGAAGCAGGTCTTTCCCAGTCCTATTTTGACTGCCTTCCAACACAAGGGGCTAGTCTTCCTGCACTGTGTCGGACAATGTTTCCAAACTATTCATAAAGTTGCTCAGTAATATATCAGACAGTGTTTCTCTGTTATTTATAAGGTTTTCCCTGGCCAATTTTTGAGAAGTAGATGGCCTCCTCCTTCTTCCTAGCCTGTCTTAGTCTGTAAGCTATATTGAAACTCGTGTACCATGTGAAACTCTGCTGGCGTCTGAAACACCAGTGGCACAGCCTCAAGCCTCACAGCAATGTACAAGCCTCACAGGATGACAAACTGACAGACAAGTTTGTCTCCCTTGGCTACTGGAAACCTCTGCACCCTCCTCTTACCTAATTCCTACCTGGAACCTGCCACTCTGTGGTCCCCAGCCACTCCTGGTCCCACCCTTTACTGGCTCTAGGTCTCAGTCCACAGTAGGAGCCCAGAAATCAGCATTTTAAATAAGTATCCCCAGATGATTCCAATGCAAGTGATGAACAAAACATACTTTGTGAAAGCGAAGCCCAAGGAGCAAGACCTTTGATCTTGTGGGCAATGGGAAGTCACTGAGCACTTCTGAGCATGGGCAGCAAAGCTCAGCAGTCTGTCTGACTCACGCTGGGCAGAAATAAGAGAAGGGAAGAAGCATGATGTTGCTATGCCTCCCTGGGACTGTAACAACTGTGCCTCTTCCCACCCATCTGGGATTTTATTGAGGACTGTATGATCCCTTGGGCAAAACTGAGAGTTAAAGTTCCTGGAGATTGCAGCTTTGTCAGAGCAAAATCTGCAGAGAATAGATTCAAGAGCTGACCCTGGCTCCAGCCACACCATTCTACGCAGACCACATGGTGTCCTGACTTCATCCTATGACTCTGACCCCCGGGGTTTCAGTTTCCCCATCTCTACAGAGCCCTGCCAACTCCGAAAAGGAGCATGATCCACACACATTCTCTGTGACCCAGCCTGGTGGCTTATCCAGAGATGAGTCAGATGCCATCTCTGCCCTCGTGTTCAGTCTGGGGGCAGTGGGGAGCAAATGTTCAAGGAGACTACAACTAAGAACGGGTGAGAGGCAGGCCACTGTGAGGGAACAGTACTGCTCTGGGGTCAGGACTGCTAAAACTCCCAGGGTGACCCAGGTAATCATGACGCTAGCTGACATTTACTGGATGCTTTCTCTACGTGAGGGAAATTCATAATTTTATTTGATGCCCAGAAAGCTCAGAGGTAGGAAGGGGCCCTGCTAACCAAAAGATCCGCAGTTCAAACCTGCCAGCTACTTAGCAGGAGAAAGATGTGGCAGTCTGTTTCTGCATATGGGGCAGTTCTAGTCTGCCCTGTAAGACTGGCTCCACTCCAACAGATGGGCACTATTACCATGCCCACTGGAACAACAAGTAAAAGATCCTGAAGAGGTCAAGTGACTTGCCCAAGGCTCTGCTCACAACTAGAAGGAACAGCCAGGCTTTGAACTGAGCCTATGGGTCTTTGCCATTTCCACAGAAGTTACTGCTACTCTTTCTCTTTCTCTCACTCATAACAGGCCTGCCTGCCAGAGCTCTCTATAGACTACCACCTCCTTTTTTATAGAGGTGGAAACTCAGGCTTATAGTGGCGCAGGAATGACGTCACAGGTGGCAAAAACCACAACTGGATCCCAGAAAGCTCTGACTCCAAAGGCCATGACCCTCCCTTTTCTACCTGGGCCTCAGTTTCTTCACTAGGACAGGGTGGGCAGACTAGAAGAGCTCTAAGGGCTTCCGGTTCTCTCGCCGTAAGAGGCGGGCCCTCACCTACACGTAGAGGTAGGTGTCTGCGGGGACTGTTTCCTCTCCTCAGTCAGGATCTCTCGTCCCCACCCCTTTTCCCCGACTCAAGACTCTGGGTCCATACGAACCCTCCCCTCCCCTTTCCGGAGGGCGGAGCGCTCACCTGTACAGGTAGCCCAGCTGTAGGAAATGCAGCAGCGCCAGACAGCGGCGGGAGGGCTGCGACCTGTGCAGGCCGGCGGCGTCGGCGCGCAGCCAGAGCCAGCTGAAGAGCTGCAGCGCGGCCGAGGCGAGGCCCAGCAGCGCCAGCACCAGCGCTGCCCACAGGTAGCGGCCGCTGAGCACGTACTGAACCGCCGCCCACAGGTCGGCGCCCAAATCGAGCAGGAAGGCGACAGTACCCAGTACGCCCAGGATTAGGTCCCGAAGGAGGGCGGCGTGGGGCGACCAGGGCATGGCCCGCCTGCCTCTCCTCCAACCCCTCCTCTGCGACTCCTGCTGGCCCTCCCGGTCTGGGGTCGCCAAATCAGAAAAGAGGCGGGCACAACTCTTGAGGCCGCCCGGGGCGGGGCCTATTGGGCGGGACTTCCCCGTCCCTCCTCGTCCGGGGAGGGGCGAGACTCGTAGACCCCGCAGTGGGATTCCCATGGGTTCCACGTAAGTACCTGTGGCTCTGGACGCTACTTGGGTTCTGCCTCGGCCACTTGCCCAGGTAGTAACCCCAGGCCAACCAGGCGCATCCTAAGGGCCGCCAGAGCCGAACCCGAGGGTCCGAAGGGCACAGCCTAATTTAGCTCAGCCGGCTTCCAGCGTTTTCTTTTACATTTGAGTGGCCTGGAAACCCAAGGCAAGGAGCACTAGTGGCACAAGGGCTAAGCGCTTGGCGCTAACAAAAAAGTCAATGGTTTGAACCCACCAAGCTGCTCCTCGAGAGAAAGACCTGACGATCTGCTCCCATAAAGAGTACAGCCTATATGGGCCCTAGTTACCCTTCAGGTCTGGAATTGAGCTCGCTGCCCTGGCTTCCAGCCAAACAATAGACAGGCATATAGGGTGAACATTTACATCCGGTAGGTACACTCCTTAGAACGATCAGTCATGGGAGAACAAAAGGGCACTATTTGCACGAGGCGATAGTTCAGGGGACAGGAATGCACAGGAAAGAAAGACACAGGGAAGAGGTAGCTTCAGGGAGGAAGTGGGAAGAGAGCTGTTACATTGTGGGGAATTGCAGTCAATGTCATGGAACAAAAAGTGTAAGAACTTCTGTATGGGAAATGAATTTGCTCTGTCAACTTTCACCCAAATCACAATTAAAAAAAAAAAAAGATTACAGCCTAGAAAATCCTGGAGAGCAGTTCTGCTCTGTCATGTGGGATTACTGAGTCAGAACCAACTCCAGGACACCTAAGAATCAAAGCACAAGATGGCGGGAAAGACCTATAGATTAGAGCTTGGGCTCTACCGGATATTACTTACATCTGCATTGTTGCAAAAAATAAAACAAAAAGGCATTCTGATCCCTAACCTGTGAACGTTGCAAACAAAGCGTGCCCAGACTTGGGGCCAGTTGCAAACAAAGCGTGCCCAGACTTGGGGCCATTCCGGGAATTCCACCTCAGATGCCTGATAACAAAGCGAAACTTCTGGGCTGCTCATGTTACTTTGATCAATGGGGAGGAGGGAGCAAGGTTCCCTTTGTGAGTTACTCAAATATTATATACTAAAAGGAACACCGCACAGAAAAAGATGCACAATGGTCGTTTTTTTCAGAAAAGACGAAACTTTTAGGAAATAGGCTCCTGGGATGGGGGGGGCGGTCTTTGGGGTTTCGTTTCCGGATCCGGGTGTCCCATCCTAATTCACTCTGTGCGGAAGCGGGAGAAATGGTGGAGAAGTTTAGGTCTCCAAAGGGTGATATTGCCTAGGTTGTACAAGGAGGAAGTTGAGTAATCCAGTGGGCGGTGTGAGACGGCAAGATCATGGCACTAGCAGGGCGCTCAGGCCTACCAGCGCCGCAAGCACCAGCACGAGCTGCGGTGCGGGCGCGACGCCAAGGGCGCGCAGGCAGGCAGCATACGCGTCGAAAGCCACCTCACGCAGTGCACACACTTGCTCGACACGGCAGGACTCCTCACAATCCCGAACGTCATAGCTGACAGAGTTGTAAACATAGTAATGCTGCAGTATGCTTTGATCACCAGCGATGCGGTCCAGCGCCGTGTGCATGGAGCCAGGGCCCACATCTGGGATCCTGTAGGCGTTGGTCAGCCGATACTCGAGCTTCCAGTCAGGCGTTCCCTGCGTGTTCGCCTGGCTCAAGTTCATGAAGTAAGTAACCACGTCCTAGAGAGGGAAGCAGTGCAGACTTCTCTTGAACAGCTGCCTAGTTCCACCCCGCTTTTGCCCCCAGATTCTTTATAGCCATAATAACCATTGTTGGTTATAGAGTGTTTATTGGTAAGGCCCTTGACTACCAGCCTACAGGTTGGCAGTGTGAACCCACCCAGCAACGCCAAGGAAGAAAAACCTGCTGATGCACTTCAGCAAAAGTTACAGCCAAGAAAACCCTCCGGAGCAGGAGCATTCTGGGGTCACCAGGAGTCAAAATCAACTAGAAGGTACCAGTTTTTGTTTTTGTTTTTATGGCAGACAGTGGCTGATTTGATCTGATGAGACAATTGCATTTATTACACCTCCAAAAGAGAAAAAGGGTCCTACAACTCAAGTGGCAGAGGTGGGATTGGAATCCAGGTTGTTTACCCCACAGCCTATGTATTTTCTGTCACACCAAGCTCCTGGCACATAGAAAATGCTCAGTAAATCTTTGCAGAATGAATGGATAAAAAGCAACAGAACAGGAGTGGGATTAACTATGGGCAAAGTGACCTTCCTGGCTGAGAGAGGGTGTAGAACCTGGTGGGGAACCTTGGATACACTCAAGACCACCCCCTAGGATTCAGGTGTATCTTCAGGACAGGAATCTGGAAGGGTGTCTCTGTCCAACACGTTTGAATTAAATCTGTGGACCCAACTAAACATGGGGAAGAGGATGCTATGTATGGACAGCAGTTGCATGTCAGGCACATTACATACATTATTAAAAAAATAAATAGCTAATGTAGAGTTGATCCTGAGTCATGGAGACCCCATATGTGTCAGAGCAGAGCTGTGCTCCACAGGATTTTTAATGGCTGATTTTTCAGAAGTAGATTGCCAGGACTTTCTTCTGAGCTTCCTCTGGGTGGACTTGAAATACCAACGTTTCTATTAGCAGCCAAGTGCTTTAACCATTGAGTGCCCATAAAAGCCTGTGAGGTCATGATCATTTCTGTTTTGTAGATGAAGCAAACAAAGACAGAGATCGAAAAGTTTGTGTGTGGTTAAGCCAGGATTAAATGCAGGTCTGTCTAGAAGGATGTGGGGCATTGTTATGGGGTCGGAGTTTTTCCTCAGACCTGGCTCAGATCCCATGAGTACCTGTGTGGGCCGTAGACCACACTCTTAAAAATCCTCAGACCTCCTTCTTATCTATGTTTCCTCCTAGAGTCAAGGACCTTGGTTATCTCATTGAGTCTATGGCTTTAAATATCCTTTGTTGTTGTCATTAGGAGCCATAGAGTTGGCTCCGACTCAGTAACCCCGTGTACAACAGAATAAACACTGCCCGGTCCTGTGCCAGCCTCATGATCCTTGCTGTGCTTGAGCCCATCGTTGCAGCCCCTGGGTCAGTCCATCTTGTTGAGGGCCTTCCCCTTTTTTGCTGACCTTCCGCTTTACCAAGCATGATATCCTTCTCCAGGGAATGGTCCTCTAGATGCGTCAACCCTCATATCAAATCTCTATACCTTTCTCTTCCCAAAACTCCAACTCAGACATCCACTGAGAAAATGCTTCCTCCCTTGGCATTTTCACTGGGATGTCATTTAGCCATGTCAAAGTTAACAGACCCAAACCCAAAATTCCCACTCCTCCCACTGTCATCACATCTCAGTGGTGACTAGCTGCTCACGCCAAAACCTGGAGTCCGTCATGACTCCTCTTTCTCTCACACCCCACATCCAATCTACCAGATCCTGTGTGTTCTGCCTTCAAAATACACCCAGAATTTGACACTTCTTACTGCTCCCACCACTGCCCTGGGCCAAGGCACAGCTGGTTATATAACTGCTCCCGCTGCTTCTTCCTTTGCTCCCTACAGCCTGTTTTCTGCACAGCAGACATACTCATTTTATAAAATTAGCATCAGAATATTCCATTCTTCTGCCCTAAACCCTCTGAATCCAGAGTCTTCATCATGACCTACATGATCTATCGTCGTCCCTTCCGCCTTCCACTCTGGCCACACTGGCCTCTTTGCTCTCCTTGTTTACCCCATGGCCTATGCATTTCTGTTACGCTAAGTCCCCCAGCACATAGAAGATGCTCAGTAAATATTTGCAGAATGAATGGATAAATAGAGTGTGTTTTAGCCCCACTGGTCTGTCTACTGCAATGGTGCCAAGTACCCAGGTTTAGTTTAAACATGCCAAGCACACTCTCACCCCAGGGCCTTTGACTTGCTGTTCACTCTTCCGCCACAGATGCCTACGTGGCTCACTGCCTCATTTCTCTCAGAACTCTGCTGAAGTGTCACTATGACATTTATCCTGCCTACCTGTCTAACACAGCACACACGCACCTTCTCCGTCACCAGTCTGTCTCCCCACCCTGCTTAGTTTTTCTCCATAAAACTTCTCTCTATGGCATGCTTGCTTTTACTTACTTTGTTACCTCCTGTAAGGGTGTCAGCTCTAGGAGAGCAGTGACTTTGTTGGCTTTGTTAAATTAGGTATCCCCTGAGCTTAGGGCAGGGCCTAGCACATGGCAGAGGCTTAAGACATTGTTGAATAAATGAAAGAATAACACTTCTTTGTGATGTGAACATTCACAAGCACATTCTAGGAGGTGAAGGAGTGTTCCATGAGTTAGGGGCCTACTTTGGCTAGAGTTGGTATAGGGCAAAGATGGGCATGGGCCTGAGATCCGACTGTAGGGAGCCCTTGGGTCCCAGGCAAGGAGAGCCAACTTTATATTGCAGGCATTGGTGAGCCACTGAAGGTTTTTGAGTAAGGGAGAGACAGGATGGAAACAGTGCTTTAGAAAGATCAGTCTTTTCTGTAGCATAGTAGATGGGCTACAATGGGGCAGGGCTGGAGGCAAAGAGAACAGGTAGGAGGATGTGGCAATGATCTAGGGGCTAAGGGAGATTTGGGGAAAAAAGAATTGGCCTGGCTTGGTGGCAGGATTTGGAGGTGGCTCAGGCTTCTGAATCTGGACGCTAAAAAGGGTGGAAGTAACTTGACTTACCTGAAGTTCAATGGAGAGTAGTGGGTGGATTAGCTTAGAAGGAGAGTCAGGCGAAGTGATCATGTGTTTAGGTCCCTGCCCACCCTTCCCCTGCGTCCCCAGTAGACCCAGGGCTCCTAACCTTCAGGCTCAGTGTGGCTCGGTCATATTCGATCACCCGGATGCCTGGATTGTTGGATCCATTTACTACTCCAGGTAATGTGGTTTTCCAGGGTGTGACTCCAGGTGTGAGGAACATGACACTGATGGGGGCACCTTTCAAGAGGGAGACAGCAGGACTGAGAGAGTCTGGTGAGAGAAGGAAGGAGGCGGGCCAGCAGCCACCCTCCAGGTTGGTACCTGTGGCATCGTAGAACATCCGGAAGGTGTCAGTGTGCTGGTGCCCAAAGAACTGCCCTGCAATGACCCTATGGTGCTTCTGGACCACATCTAGGTACCTCTCGTTGAACGCCTGCCTGAACCATGCCTTGTTCCGTGTCTTCTCAAAGAACCCTGGGGGCACATGGCCAATAATGTACACCTATAAAGAGAGGGTACCCAGGAGGGGTTCAGGAGATGTCCACCCAGTCCCTCATTTTCCATCCTCAAAACTTGCCCATCTCCCAAAGGCAAGCTAACAGGCTCAGATACATCTCTGAAGTTCTCCCCTATTTCTTCAATTTGTAGGCCAGCAATGCTTTCCCACCACTATGCCAGTGCCCATACTGTGCCTGCCACCTGGAGTACTTGTCTCATTTTCACTTTTGTAAATCATACCCATACTGCAAGGAGCTCTGGTGGTGCTCAGTTGCTAACTGAAAGATCGGCAGTTCAAACCCACTAGCCACTCCATGGGAGAAAGGTGTGACAGTCTATTTTATAAAAATTGTTGTTGTTAAATGCTATCAAGTTGGTTTTGACTCATAGTGACCTTCTGCACAACAGGACAAAACACTGCCTGGGCCTACACCATCCTCACAGTCATTGCTGTGTTTGAGCCCCTTGTTGCAGCCACTGGATCAGAAAAGATCATAGCGTTGGGAACCCTAAGGGGCAGTTCTACTCTGGCCTGTAGAGTTGCTGTGAGTTGGAACCAACTTGATGACACACAACAACAACAACCCATACTTCAAAGCCTAGCTCAAAGAGCATCTTCTCCATGACACCTCTCTGATCCTTCAAAAGCTAGTCTCCTCCTCTTGGAGCACAGGCACTGTAACTAAACCATTCTTGCATGGTTGTGTAGTACATGGTGTGTATAATGTGTGTTCATGTATTATATTCCTCAAGTCACACAGCTAACAGTACCTGGACACTTGGCTGCCATTGTAGGAGGTACAACAGCAGTGGGAGTTAAGAGCATGAGCTTTGGAGTCAAACTGCAGCTTGGACGCCAGCTGTGTGACCTTGGGCAGGTCATTTCACCTCACTGAGCCTTAGATCTCTCATGTGTAAGATGGCAATAATAGCACCTGCCTTGTGGATTTCTAAGAATTACATGAAATAGTCCCTATAAAGCATTTAGCAACATGCAGATGCAGTGCATGCTCAGAAGCACCAGCCATGAGATCCTGCTGTGATGTGCTGGTCAGTACAGGGGTGCAAGCCAGTGAAACACAGGGCCTGTCCTCCAGGACACACCTGGAGGTCTGGGCTATCCCCTACTTTGCATCCCCTGGAGGTCTAGTACACAAGTGCTAGACTGTACTGAAGCTACAGTGTGTGGTGGAAAGAGTACTGTTCTGATGTCTGAGTCCAGGAGTCTGGTCTTGCTTCACTGCTAATCATGTGACCTTGGAATCGTCATTGCTTCTGTGAACTTGAAGGTCCTTCTCTGTAATGGCCCCAGGATCCCAGCCTCATGGGACTGTTGTGAGCATGTTATGAGCAAGCCTGCCTCTTCTAAGCTGATGAAAGACCCTCTGGAATGTGGGCATCTCAGAGTAGGTGGGTGAGTTTATACCAAAGCAGGAGACTTATGCAGGAAGTGACCCCAAAGAGGGAGGAGACAGAGGCCCTTACCATTTCCCCAGCCTGGGAAGCATTGGTCAGCACATTTTCCAGCCACTGGAACTGCTGGCCAGGGTCGGCCATGCCAGCTGTCTGCCCGTTGTTGGTATAGTACAGATTGGTGTTGAGGACCACAATTCGCCCAGCCCTGCTCGGACCCAGCAACTTCTCAGAATAGAAGGCACCTAGGGTGTCACACACAGCCAGGGAGAAGTCGGAAGGGGCCTCTTGCCTCTGGTCAAACATGCCTCTTCCTCCTTCACCTCACTCTCCCACCTTCTCCTTCCCTGGCAGGAGGAGAGATGGGGGAGAACCACCATCTTTCCTATAGGAGGGCATCATGGGATCAATGTAGCCAAGTAGGTAAGAGCCAAGACTCTGGAGCCAGGATTCCTCAATTCAAATTTTGACTTCCACTTATGAGCTGTGCAACTTGGGAAAGTTACTTAACCTCTCTGTGGTCTAGTTCCTCATCTGTGTAATGGGTATATTTGCTCCTCCAGCTCCATGGTCAACTTTCTTCATCTAGCTCTCTGCCCCAGGAGGCTGATCTGTGTGGGCTAAATCAATGGGCTTCTGATTGGGTTTGACCAATAAAGAGTCCCAGAAGCAGAAGACTAAAGGGAGGAAGAGATAGGGTCAGGGGCACCTTTGGCTATGTCTTTGGACCTGGTTCTCAACCAGGTGATTTTGCTCCCCCTAGGAAACATTTGCCAATATTCAGAGACATGTTTGGTTGTCATAACTGAGGGATGTTACTGATGTCTATGGGTGCTGTTAAACATCCTGTAGTACAGAGGGTAGCCGCCACAACAAAGAATCCAACCTAAAACATCAATAGTGCTCAGGTTGAGATACTCTATTCTGAATAGACAGTTACCTCTCCTTCCTAGGGTTGACTCGAGGAGTCTAAGAACATGCTGAGATTAGTCCCTGCCATACAGGAAGTACTCAATCTGTATTGGTTGTTACTGTCATCATTAGTGCTGTGGGTTTAAGCGCATGAGCTTTGGAGTTAGCCCAGATTCTGTTTCCAAGCCTGCCTCTTCTAAGCTATGTGACTTTATAGTCAAATGACTTGTATCTTCAAACCTCTGCCTCTTTATCTTTAAAATGGAGATAAAATCAGTAACTATTTCATGGGGTTGTTAATCAAGACAGATGTAGATCAGAGCCTAGCACACATTAAGAGTTCTGGTAGCGTAGTGCCTAAGGCACTTGACTGCTAACCAGAAGGCTGGCAGTTCAAACCCACCAGCCACTCCTCAGAAGGATGATGGGGCAATCTACTTCCGTAGTGATAACGCCTCAGAAACCCAAGGAGGGGTCGCTATGAGTTAGGTCTGACTCGATGGCAGTGAGTTTGGTTTTCAGTTTTTTGTAGTAGCAGGTGGTGTTAGTACCTTCTTTGAAGAGAGCAATGGATTCATTACTGAGCCAGGGGCTCCACAGTTCTGCTATCCGATCGTAGATCCTGTTGCTCCCTGCTGGAAGCTGGCTTTTGGGGTGAAAGTCATGATTCCCCAAAGCAGCATAGACTTTAGTATCTGGGAGGGAAAGGAGAAATACAAGAATACATGCTTGAGTATTTGGTAAAGTTGGTAATTTTCAGTCAGCCACCAGCCATCAGAGCTAATGGGGAAGAGTGATATAGCACAGATGAGGAAGATACAGAGATAAGAGGAAAACCACATTGATAGAATCTGGCTGAACTGTGCTCAGATCCCAGAAGGAAGAACAGTGAGTTCCCTCTCCCTGACCCTATTTCTAGCAGAAAGTTCCCTGCTCAAAAAGGAGGATTCAGCACTTGAAAAGGGATCAAAATTGGAGATTCCAGATCAGGGGGAGAAAATGTGGAGCAAAACTCAAAATCATAAAGATCAGACTTACTGGTCTGATAGAGACTGGTGAAACCCCCGAGACTATAACCCCTGGTCACCCATCAGGCTTGGAATTGAACTCACTCCTGTGGCTTCCAACCAAACAATAGGCATATAAGGTGAACATTTACACCACGTAGGTACATACACTCCTTAGAATGATCAATCACTGGAGATCAGAAGGGCTGTATCTGCACAGGTAAGTAGTTCAGAGGATAGGAATGCATAGGAAAGAAGAGGTAACCACAAGGAGGAAGTAGGAAGAGAGTTGTTGCACCGTGGGGATTGCAATCAATGTCATGAAGCAAAATGTGAGGGCTGTCACAAAAAGGGAAGGGCTGCTTGCCATGGGAATATGTAACAGGGTGGGGGAGGATAGGGGAGACATTCTTGAGGAAGTGGCTTATGAATGAGGTGGGTGGGGGATCTGTTAGACTTATTTCCTCCTTGAGAGCCGCCTCATGTCTGCTTTTATTTTACACTCTGTGTCTGGCACATAGTAGGTGTTAGAGATATGCCACGCCATCTTGCGTGGCTCTTCCAGGTTCTTCTTCATTCTGCTGCCCCACCCAAGGTCATAAGTCAGTTAAAGGAAGTCGAAACTGAGCTTCCTGCAAGGCGCAAATTTTAAAAGGCAACATAGCTTCTGACAGGTTAAGACCCCTTCCCCCAGCTCTGACAGACAACCTCCTAATCCCAGGTCTATATAAGACCACCCTCTCCCCTGCTCGCTCTCTTCTTCCTCTCTCTTCTCTTCTTCCCTTCTTCCTCTTTCTTCTTCTGTTCTTCCTCTTCTTCCTCCTCCTCTTCTTCTTCTGTCCTTCCTCAGTGCAGGCGCCCTTTCACCTCTTTAATAAAATCTCCTGTTGGGTACCCTGGTGTGTGGCATGGTCGTTGAGTGCCAACGGAGCTCTAACAGTAGGTGCTCAATAAGTATTTGACAATGAACAAAAACTCTTTTTGAGCTCAGAGCAGGGCTTTACCTTTTATGAGCTTGGCCTACCTCAGGGAGTGATCTTAAGCCAGTCCAGGGAGGCCAGAGCCTCCAATTCCCTGTTTTAGGAAATATCTCTAATAAACCTTTGCCTTGTAAAGTCTACAAGATCTGGAAATGCTGAGAGCTCTGTCAGAAGCTTATAGTGGACCACACAAACCTTAGCCTATATGACCATAAGATCAGAAGAACCAGATGGTGCCCAGCTATCACTGCCAATCACTTGGAAAGGGATCAGTACAGGAGATCCTTGATAGAGTGGGAGAATGATGTGGAACAAAACTGAAAGTCACAGAAAAGACCAGGTTTACTGGTCTGATAGAGTCTGGTGAGACCCCCAAGACTAGCCCCTAGTTACCCTTCAAGTCTGAAACTGAACTCATTCCTGTGGCTTCCAGCCAAACAACAGACAGACAGGGTGAATATTTACATCTGGTAGATATACTCCTTAGAATGATCAATCATGGGAGAACAGAAGTGCAGTATTTGCAAAGAGAGATAGCTGGGGGGCTGAGGACAGGAATGCATAGGAAAGGATACAGGGAAGAGATAATTATGGGGAGGAAGTGAGAAGAGAGCTGTTACATTGTGGGGAATTGCAGTCAATATCATGAAACAAAATGTGTATGAACTACTGTATGGAAAATGAATTTGCTTTGTAAACTTTCACCTAAATCACAATTAAAAAAAAAAAAAAACTCAACTGCCATCAAGTTGATTTTGAAACCTAGTGCTATTTCCCCCACCCTGGCACCTGGATGGGAATAGATAGGTAGACTGGATTACCCCCAGCTATTTCCCCCACCCTGGTTAAGACAGATAATTAGATAAGACCCCAAGGGGAGTAAGTAAACTGGATTACCCCCAACTATTTTCCCACCCCCAGCAGATGAGTATTCACTTCCTGAATGGAAAACATTCCTTCCTGCAGATAGTAGACTTGCTAAAAGTATTTTAGAAATAACTGATAAATTAACTCTGGCCACAGACAATGGAAATGTTTTAGAAACAACTTGTAAATGAACTCTGGCCCAAGGACATAAGGGAACAAAAGTTAATTGCTGACCCTCTCCCCTCTGTCCAAGCCCCTATCAGCTGATAACAAGAAACTAGTGACTCATCTGTCACCCATTTCACTTTCACGTCCCAAATTCCTCAACCTTTTGTGAATATGCACAACCCCCTCTCCTGAAACCTATGAAAACTGTGTTTCCATGGCATCTCAGGGAGTTAAGATCTGGGTACTAACTACCCCTAACTCCTTGCACTGCTGTTTTGCAATAAATAATTTTCTCTCCTCTCAATCTCTGTGTGTAAACTGTTTTGGCCTGACTGCACATCCGGCAGGGACCCGGGTTTGGTCCCATAACAATTTCACCTCATAGCAACCCCTTCTTGGATTTCCAAGGAGGTATCATTACAGATAGCCTAGTGCATAAGGCATTTGACTGCTAACCAGAAGGCTGG